TTTTACCTCGACGTTCGGAATTTTCATTCCGTAGTCCAGTTGCTCGATCCCGATACGCGGGATTTACGTTTCGAGAGCTGGATCCTGTAACATCGATGGCTCAGATTTTTTTTTTATTATGTATAATCTTGGATTTGGACTCGCGGATGTTTTATTCCTCTCGATACTTGGAGTGTTCATCCCGACGTGTCGAGTGTTTCCTCCCGATTGGATTCCTTTACGTCGACTTTTCAACTTCTCCGGGTTATTCCACTTCGTTCTATTAGATCGAGGAACTTATTACTGTAAAATCCAATTTCATTCGATTTTATGGAATTTCTCCGGATTTCGCGCCGGAACGATAAGGCTCGTCTCCTGGAGCTGGATCACCCCCTAACTTGCCTTATCAACCCTTACTCCAAATAACTGTTTAGCCACCGCGGATTAAGGGTGGTCCTCGGCCAATTTCTCTCCCCCTCTTCGGGCACTGTCAACAGACGTGCTCCGAAATCGCGAATTAAGATTATTAACCGGCTCCCGTGGTGCTCTCCGCGGAATCAGCTGATACGCCGCTTTCGGGGCCGACCGGACCGGTGTTTGCGGAATAATTGATCGATCACCTGTCTTCGGCACGGTCGAGTCCGCAAGGTTGGTCGGATTCACGGTCGAGGAAACCCGACGACGTGGCTTTCGGTTATCCGTTCGGTAATCGCGAGCCGTTCCTCCTGTGACCTCGCCGCTGATAATGGGATTCCACGTCGAGGGGATCGAGGACTCTTCGGGGACAGAAGTGTGCGCTGGGAATTGTCTCAAGGTCGAGAATGTGTGGAAATGGGGAGAGAGAGAGAGAGAGAGAGATGGGAGATGTCGGAGTGCTCTGGGTGCGGGATTTTGCGGATTTGATAAGAGCGGAGGAAAGTGATTATCGAGGATCTCTTCTAACTGGAGGCGTCAGGTGAACGTCGACTCATGATCTAGGAAATGAGTGAAATATGCCGAAACTAGATTTAACGTCTTATTAAAGTGTCTCATATACTTATGTATACTAAACAATTAAAATATTAATAATACTTTTCTCTGATTATGGAGGCTCGATTTTCTGGTTTCGCGCGCCGTTCTTTCAGGACTCGATCGCAGTCGGAATACCTGTTGGCGTGCGGGACTCGCATTAACGATCCGTTTTACTTTATTTCCGCGCTTTTAGGCAAACCAGAAGATTTATGAGTCCCGGTCGAACGATGCGCGCACGTGACTAAGGATTTTTGAGCGATTCCCCCTAGCCTGGAGCAGACGTTCCAAATTGATGAAAGCTCGTTGATTAATCGAGGGAACTATCGACCGGGACGAGTGATCGAGTTCGCGGGAGATCGTTCCGAAAGAACGGGATGAAAAATATCGCCGGTCTAAAAGTGACTGCCAACGAGAAACGCCGAAAATCGACGACTAACCCCCGACGAAAGAGCGTCTTAACACGAGAGATTTTCTACTGTATCAAAATGAGGTAGATTGGAAAATTCCACTCTAACAAAATAAAATGAGAAAAAAAAAAGTCCTATCGCCTGATCGGTTCGTTTTATATGGATTATGGGAACACGGGTAGAGAGCTTTCGATCGACGAAACGATGGGGTGCATTCCTCTCGTTTTTAGGCACAGCCCGATGCACCCTCGCCCAATCAATACTTTGGCAAATGACGAGCCCTTGTTCGGCATTCGTGTCCGAAATCGAATGCGCTCGTGTTAACACGGGGTGAGTCGAGGGTGGAGGCGGCGTCATAATTGACGGAATTGACCATTTCAGAAGGCTCGAATTCGCTTTGTCAGGATTTAAAACCACCTCGCATAGCGTCAAGGTGATATGAAAGGGTCATGTATATATATATGGAACGTCGAAATAATGATAAAGCATTCCCCCGAATCATTTGAAATTTCAGCACGTGATTTTGACGTTTTGTACATATAGAATGACCATTTCGTATCACCTTAAGGGAAACGTCATGGAAGCTAAATGAACTATCGGAGTGTCATCGAGGGTGCCCTTTGCACGTTAAAGGGGTGAAACAGCCCGCGAGTCCATTTAAAGTGCGTGTAACATACAATTCAACTCGACGTGACACAGTTTTCCGGGACGAACGGCCCGTTGGATGGGAATTTTTGTTCCTGTTTTCCCGCTTTCCCGGTTTTCCTTTTTTACCCGTCCCGGACGCAGGGGTTGACGCGCGTCCCCGTAATTGACGGAATTTACCATTTTCGGACCTCCTCTACCCCGGATTTTAAAGCGCCCTTTTCACGTCACATTACGCGAGATGCGAAAAATAAATGGACCCCTTCGACTCTATCGGAATATTATCGGGGACGTGCCCTTTGCACGTCGAGGTTCCAGGGGTGGAACGACGAATCCGTTAAAGTGCATGTATCGCACGGTGCACCCCTTGGCACGGTTTTCCCGACTCGGGAACGATACCCCGACGGAGGGGAATTTTTTTTCCCCATTTTCCTCCCCCGGGTGAAGTCGAGGAACGGTTTTCTTTGCACGGACGAGAGAGAGAGGGGGTGTCGGGGATAAAATTACCGAAGACAGCGGGGTATGAAGTGGGCCGCGGAAAAGAAGGGCGAGACCCCCTGAAGGGGGTGCGTAGGGACAGGGGATGAAAGTTGGCCAACTAATTTAATTAGCCAGGCGTTTCGTGCGACGCGAATTACGCTGGCCCCGCGAGTCTCCTTAGGATGTATGAACTTTTGCTTGGCGGCCTCCCGGGGCGAAGTTTTTACCCCTCGCGAAAGGGGCGAATTTTCATGCATTTGTAAAAGAAAAAGCAAAACGAAACGAAACAATTACAAGGCCGGACCCTCGTTTCTAATTGTTCCCACTTTATTATTTTTCCCCCAGCTTGTTTTGTTCTCTCGAGTATTTCTACGCGACGTTCGAGGTCGCGAAGGAATCGTTGAAAATTTCCCGAGCCGATTATAATACCACGGTGGAATAATCCAACGGAGTTCGGAATTTACGGGGACGAGCCGCTGCTAATAGACTGCAGGGTAAACCCCCGGGCGGATGCACTTTTGCATCGCGCAGCCCCCGGCGGAATTTGCGTTCCTGATATACAAGAGGGGGATGTGATACGAGGGCGCAGGAGTAAAAGGATGCCCCGCTGACGCGGAGGAAACTAAGGGGAAGATAATACTCGAGAAGAGCTGCGAGCCAAGGAGCAGACGAGGCGGACCTCCTTTTTTTTTTTTTCTTTCCCATCTTCGGGGGTAGGTGAAATCGCCTCCCGATTTTTCAACCCCCGCCGGACATCCCGGCAATAAATATGAAAATCCGCGGACCAGGCGTAGATATTCGCGCCCCCTCTCGGCCAATCGCGAGCCGGACACGACGTTCGCATTTTTACGGCGGGGCGACGAATCCGGAAATTCGCCCCAAAAAAAGCGGAACAAAAAAAAGTGTGCACCCTTCCGAGGGGGTGCACTCACGTATATGCATACGTATTTATATTCGGAAAAATTCCCGATGCACGGCGCGTTTCGCAGCCCGGCCCGTGATTTCCCGGTTCGGGGTAATTCTCCCTGCCCCCCCCCTTTGTCGTTCGGCTCCATTTTTCTCCCCCCGATTTTTCAACCCCCGGGTTTTATACGGGGACGACCCCGCGAGCGAAGGCGTTTGATTAAAACGTGTCGCGCGTTTTGTCCGGCGATCGTCGACTACGGGGGCTGCTGCAATTTATCGAAATTGGATCTGTGAGGGAAAAAAGGGAGGAAAACTACCCCCCCGGAGGGGTGGGAGAAGGTTCAATGGGCCAGGTCCACGTAAAGCCGGATCGGGAGACGGCGCATCTCCATCCCCTGGGATGCGGCTATTTATTCCCGCGATCCTGCGAAGGACCTCTCGTTACTCTCTCGGGGACCGATTCCTCCTGGATTCCTGAAAAATGCTCGCGACTCGCGATAAAAAATCGAGTACTCCGGGAAATGGAGACGTATCCTTCTCCCCTTACCCTCTCGGAGGCGTCGTAGAACCCAGAAGGGCCCGAATAAAATATCCGTATCTCGACGCCTCCTAAATGAAACGCAGAATTACCAAGTCCTACGACAGGATCCCTCGGGATGTATAAAACCGGGGATGACCGGTCGCGATCGATCGATCGGACGGAATCGATGGCTACGTTTAATTACGTTACGTTACCTTAAGGATTTATTCCTCGAGCTAGTATATTCGATAAGTATTTTGTATCCTTATTTGTATACGCGGGATATATCCATCCCGATTAACCGGGGGGTCCTGTAACTCGTAACCGGACGGCGAGTTACGCGGAAACGTTATTTCGTCGGGATAAAATGGCGAACTCCCCGGGAAAACGGGGGAGTTTCCGAAGTTAAACGCGAGCAAAGCGCGTTAGGGGACCCACCCCCGGAATTCGCGACACTTTTATTTATTCCTTCCCAGGGACACGAATATACATATATACACACACGGCGGGTCTCTTTAAATTAAATCGGCGAAAGTTTCGGAGAGGAGGGATAAAAGGAAGAGGAGCCTTGGGGGTGGAAGTGCTCGTTTTCGCCCTGGACATCCCCGACCCCCCGCGAGCCGTTCGAACCTCCAATTAAACCGCGTCCGGACAAATTACCGGCGGTTCGGGACCAAATGCCGAGAAGTTCGAGGGGGGTCCCGGAATTCCTTGGGGCAAATCGACGATCCCGAATCCCGAGGGTGGAGCTGACGTCGGGGTGCAAACGATGACGAAGCCGTAAAGGTACGCGACCACGGCTTCCACCTCGCGGCGGGATTTCTCGCTTAAACCGGGGCTTAGGTGAAGCTCCAACTTGCACCTTAACTCCTCTTTCCATATCCGTCACCCCCGCGAGGGGGTGGAAACGGGAGGCGGAAGTCGCGATTCCTGGATCGGAGCTCCGAGTTCGGCAAATTCTCCGGGAATTTCGGCGCACCTGTCGCGGAGACCGTCGAGGGTGGGACCGAGATTTTGGGACCGGAAGTGAACTCGATTCTCGAATGTTTCAGGGTCTGGACCATGAGGCTGGTCAGGGACGGCAACCTCTTCTCCAAGGACGCCGTCTTCGAGGGCAGCAACGGGAACATCCCCTTCGACACTTCTCGCTCGTACACCGGCACCGTTCTTGGTGAGTACTCTTCCTCTGATTTTTAAGCCGGGACTGGACCCCCTCAAAATGGCGAACTTCCGCCCTTAAATCCCGCGGTTAAGTCCCTTTCGTAATTTATGACGAATTTTTATGCGTAACCAATGACGCGAAATTCTTAAGGGGCCATTCGAAGACCGCGATTCTTCCCCCAGTTAATTTCGTTAAGGGGCTCGACGAATGATTGCAAGGGACCTGGGACCCCTCCTCCTGGAAAAGCGTCCCCCATCATTTAAGGGGGCTTCGATTTATCGACGGTCGATCCTCGGTCGAAGGCGCCGCTCCCGGTATTTGTGTAAGGGAAATTGCGAGTCGTTAGGAATAATTTATTTACCGTCTCCGGGGGTGGGCCCCGGGTGCACCCCTCGTACATAGGTATCCATGTACGCCGCGAAATGACAGGAGCGTAGATTTTCCGCTCGACTCGGCGTCGTAAAAGTTTTTAATCCGCTTTACCGCCCACCCCTCTCTCGCCCCGATAGGAGTCTTCCTTGTCGAAGTCGACTCGTCCACTATCGACCCGATATCCACGTGGAAATTAAATCGGAGAGGATACTTTCTTTCATTTTCTTTACGTGTTTTTTTTTTTTTTCCCCTCGAAAATTCCGGGTTAGGGGGCGGTGTTATCACCGGTGGCTCGCCGATATCAGGAACCGCGGGGTTGCTGATATTGCGGGGCTAGAATCCAGGCTGCGAGAGCATTGCAGAGGGGATTATAGTCTGCCGCCTCCTTTGTGGCTTGTATGCACGCATAAGGGCGTTGCATTATCACACCAGGTGTTCGAGCCACGTTTACCACCGGAATGTCGTATAACGTGCCCCCGAAGTTGGGGGTGGCTAGCGCCTCCTCTCTTCCTCGCCCCGTTTACCAATTGCACCCCATTCCGTGCCGACCAGAGATGCACCGAATTACTTGGCAAATTTAATTTCTGCGCGTGTGCATCTCACCTCCGAAGGAAATAATCGCGAAAAATTCTGTGGACGGTTCGTCGAGGTCGCCGTTTTCCTTTTCCACCCCCTCCCTGGGAATTGACAAACGGGACGCGAGTTAACGTTGACTCCGCCACCTGAAGAAGTTCCTTTTTCCGTCCCGGCGTCTTAAAGTTTCGACTCGCGAGGTATGTCGACAAACTCGAGGGAAGTGGGGCTTTTGAGCGTCCCAGGGTTATTTGCATAATCGGGGCGCGGGGGTGGACATAGGGGGCGAGACGTTCCTCGTTCCTCCTTCCGCGAATTCATCCCCACGGGAACCGGGAGCGAATTGTGGCTTCCCTGAAAAGATTAGGGGAAAGATGTTAAACGAGGAAAAAAATCATTTAGAAAATAGGGAAAGGGCATTTACCCTCGTCGGGGGAGGAATTTCGACGTCGCACCCCGTCGGGGTGGCTCCACTATGGAGGGAGATTTCCGCGCGTGCTAATCTCGCGCGAATCGAACCGAGAGAGGTTAAATACTGTAAGAGCTTCACGGTGAATTACGCAATTAGTTAATGCCGAGGGTTGGAGGGGTGGGCGAGACTTTATGCAAACTGCCCCGTATAGGAGACCTCGACCCCATCGCGGGGGGCATCTGGATGTAACGTGTTCCTGGCTGGAAAATAGGGCTTGCGCTTAACTCCGCAAGCTTCATTAAGCACCGGGCACAGGGGTGCCTCCCCTGTTCCATAGGACGAGGGGTCGCACCCTACTCTGCACTCTCCGTGGAAATTTCGGAATTTCGGAATTTTACAATTTTTTTTTTCTATTGCTTTTTTTTTTCCCTCCTTTCTTTCAAGGGGACGAAACCACCCCTCGATGTCGACCGGCTATTAGAGCAGCACCGAGCTTTCTGCGCCGACCTTGCACTTGCACCAGTTTCGCTTTTAAGGCTTTCTCGTTGCATCACCGAAGTCTGGCCGAGCTTTGTAGGTTAACAAAGGCATCGAGTAATTGAAAATCACGGAAAATCACAAAATCACAAAAAAAAAATGTATTTATCCCGGACAGAATTAGAAATTTTTTTTTTTCAAAAATTGAAATTTCGTGAGTTTCAAGACCTTTGTTAAGAAGTCACTAATCACGTGTCAGTGTTTCAAATAATTCGGTGCACCCTGTTTGGAGGGCAGTTTTATCAATATTTTGACGTTTCATGGAATGACCCTTTCGTACCACCTCGTGGATGGGAATTTTTCGGGATTTAGGAGGGAATCGAAATCCGAGAGGAATGTTCCCGGTTTCCCCAGGAACCTTCGGGGACACCCGGTAGAATCGGTGCGTGGGCTTCGGTTTTCCATTGGCCGCGAATCGCATTGTCGTCGCCTGGAGTCCTGCCAGGTTCGGGGCTGGTCCGGTCGAGTCGGCCCGAAAGAGGGACGGCTCTCGACCGCGTATATTCAGGTGCACCTAGGTGCATCAATACGTGCACGTGCATACGCGAACGTGCATCCCGTACCCGCAAAGACCGTCCAGACGCGCGTACATGCTCGACTTCCCCGTAACGAGATCCCGAGGGACTCCAGAAATTCCCGATCTCCCTCTCCGCCCCGGGAATTATTTCTATAATATCGTATATCTTCGTTTCGTGCACATACTTTTTTTTATCCAGGGGTGCATTCGGGTGCGAGCACCTGGGGGTTGCCGCCCTTAGGATGCACTCGATTCCACCGCGTCTTCGATTCGTCTCCCTGATACACGGGGTGGGGGTGGTCGGGGACGGGGGTAGTTCTCCCCGAGTTCGTGAACAGAGAGACGCGCCGGAGTTGTAGACTCGCCGGGAGCCAGTTTAAAACTTTGGGAGGCAGGGGGTGGATTTCGAGGGTGTGTCGCGCCCGCGGGCCCTTTTGGGGGAATGGGTGGTGGGGGTGATCCAGTTGCCCCGAACTTGGGGGAGCCTTCCCGAGACACCTGCACGGGACGGGCGTCCCGATTCTCCCCTCATCGCCTGGAGGAAAGGGTTCAAGCGACGCCGAATTTTCCCGAATCACGTCCTCCCTCGGGAACTCCCGAATCTTGCCAAAAAATCCCGCCCGGGGACATCGAGACCGCTGCACCGAGGGAAAAAAAAAAAAAACGAAATTCATTGAACCAAAGAAATTTTTCGATATAATTTCGAGGATAATCATTTGACTCAAATCAATTGTCACGATTCCGAATAAACGTTGCCCCCGATTTATTCCAGGGTTGAGATGAATAATTATTCTTTGAATTAGGGGGATGCATATCCTCGGTACCGGGTCGAAGAAATATCTCCCTGTTTCGGTGAGGTTGTTTCCCCGATGTAGTAAATACCAGGAAATGGAGTCGCGGGGTGTGGATGATTTCCACAGGGGCGAGCCAAAAATTTTCTTCGGGGACCCGGGGACACCGAATTCCGTTCTAAAAACGGGGCGAGGACGCGAGTAAATGGCGGGAAAGGGGATCCTCAGGGAGCGGGGTTCGCGTCCCGGAAGGTTGAGTAGCTCGGTGAACCGTGGCGGCTCCTGCTGGCTGCCCGCCAACTCATCTCGACATTCATAACCGCGGCTTTTGCGAAGGCAGGACCTCCTCCAGGATGGGGGGTGGAGGAGCGACCCGGAACCGAGAACAACCCAGGATCCGGACCCGCGACGTCCCGAATGGTCCTGAATAGGGTCCTGCCGGTCCCGGTGTCCCGAATGCGGTCCCGATCGCTCCTTATCACCCACTCTCCACCCTCTTTGGGCAAAGGGGGGTCGCGATTCACCCCTCGAGGTCGTTGACGCGCGAATTTTGATATGTCCCCCTTTCGACGTGCCCCTCCCAAGGCGGGGTGTCTGAAGTTCGGCATCGCAGGGGAGCCGAGGGGGGCCGAGGAAGTCTCCCCTTCAAAGGGTGCGGCACAAAGCCGGCATTCATGGCTTTCAGATGCCACCCCCGGTGGGCACGTCCCACCCCCAGACACGGATCCTCCCATCTCCGAATGGAATCGCGCGTATATCGCGATCCGATCCCCCCCAGGTGCACCGCGATGCACCCTCGATGCACTTCCGCCACCCCCAAGGGGCCTTGTTAGGGGTCGATCAGGGACCTCCAACTATTCCGGCGGCCATTTTGCCGGCTTATCGGAAGTCTCTGGAGGACTCGGTGGGAAAGTGGACACGTGAAAAATGGCGCCGGGGGGCAGGGGGCGAATCTAGGATGGGGGTGGGGCGCGACCTCGGACCGTAATGTATGTTAAAATGTGGAGTACCCTCGAGATTAAATAACCATGCCTGGGCTTGGAATAACCTCGGAAGGTTATTAATGCAGATGGATTCAGGCCCGGGGGTGGCGGGGGAAAAAACGCCCGAGAATGCATTAGCGAAGACGAGCGCGAGGGGTTGTCTCGCGGAGCGCCGGATAATTCATGAATTATCCACGGGAAAACCCTCTGCGAAAGGACCCCCTCCTCTCCTCTTCCCTCTTCGTGGCTTTCGCGTGAAAGGGTTGGACGCTCCTGGAAAAATTGTCACCGCGGATGCCGATCCTGGAATTAGTCCTCTAGACGCCTCGTCAGCAGGACCCCCCGGGAAGAGATTTCAATCTGCAAGTTAAATGGGTAGGCCCGACCTCCCTCGCTCCCTGTATAAGGGGTGGACTCTTCTGATTTTCTCTTACCGTGGAGACGTTCCTCCATCCCCGATGTCTGGAAAATCGGAAAATTAGGCGAGTCGCTCTTCAACGTTCGATTTTTGGCATTTTTCTTCTTTCAAGACCATTCTTCCGATTTTCAATTCAATTTTTCGTTCTTTCCTCAAAGTCCTTTCTTCGGCGTTTAATTCGCCAACCCTTGATCTTCAAGGCGAGGGTCCCACCCTGAGGAACCCGTGGTGGTCTATTACCGGAGGACGGATTTTTACGACTCGGGCCGTTTTTTACCAGCTTAAGCGAGGTCATTAGCGATCTCGAAGACAGGGGTTGGGATTAATTTCCGCCCGCTTCTCGGGTTTCGCCCGGGGTGGCGACTTTCCGGCCACTGGCCATCGCTAAGGGTGTCCTCTCTGCTCG